CAAACAAACAAACAAACAAAATTTACAAAAGCAGCATGTAGCATGGAACTGATACTGTCGCACTCTTGGTGAAGATTAGGACTAACAATTTTGCAGTGCTTATCTACTGGAATGAAAAGGAGAAATCTTGACCCGATAAGTTAGATCTCATTTGTGTCATATAATGATGCTCTGGATATTACATGATTCTTAGCTCCCGCTAACATTACGAAAGAAAGTGTGATTTTATAATAATAGTATAGTTTATATTAGCTCTCAAGTTACTTGACTCTACAAATTCAAACAATATTAATAATGTTTTTGTTCATGCCTAAATTATGAACATCTTGGAACAAATAAGATGTGTATGGCCAACTTTATTCATTCATTTCAGTAAAGGGAAAAATACACTAAACACAAAATACGTAAAAACTAAGTATTATGACTAGTTTGTCTCTGAACCTTACCATTTATACTTCGTTTTCCCAAACAATCAAATAAGTGGTACATTAATTATCTTATTAGCCAACACAAGAGGTATCAAATTTGTTCTTTCTTGTCTTAACAAGATGTTTACTTATTGTTAACCTTTCCGTTTTCTTTGTTAATATATCAATATTCGTCTACGAAATAACAACTTAATAAATGATTGTTTTTCAATGGCTCAGCGGTAAGTCTGAAGGCTTGTAACGCTAAAAATCAGATTTCAATACCGGCGGTGGGCAGAGCGCAGAAAGCCCATTGGTTAGCTTTGTGCTTAAAAACAAAAAAAAAATAAAAAAAAATAAAAGTAAATTATTGAAATCATACACTTATATGTGCATCAAGAAAGTAGATTTGACACAAAAGAAAACTTTCGCATCTGCCCAGACATTTTTCAATTTTGTCTACTGTGATGATGGAGAACATGAACTTATGATAGATGTCGTTGTAGAAGAACCCTAGTAGTCGGTACCAAGTAAATTAAAGGTTGTATTAAAAATTACAAAAATGTTAAACACACCATTAATTTATTTTTCAACATTTTTTTTTTTTGTAGCTAAGTCAATGAAATGTATATTTTCTATGGGCGAATTTTTATTCAGACTACGCTAAAATATTAAGCTTAAATATAATATACATAATTTTTATTTCCAGATTCTGTTTTATGTAAATTATTTCTATAATTCAACTATTAATTGTTAGCTTCAATAGTAATTAACTTAATATTTAAGCCAGAATAAAAGTTTGTATCAAAAATAACTTAATACTACTATTTTTAGACGAGAACGACTAGGTGGTATTTGTATCTGAATGATTTGCCAGGAATTCAGCCAGAATAATAATAAAAGATGTACATTTTCCAGCTTAAATTTAACAAACATGTTATGAAAATGGTTAGGGATGTGAAGTTAATTGGTTCCCAGGTGCGTGTAGGTGATTCTATAACCTTGAGAATTAATTTTCTTTTTTAAGTTCCTTCACCAATTAGCTGCGAGGTTATTGTCGTTTAGAGGAAATATTGATCTTTTATGGACTAAGATTAATCTTACAGTTAGTCTGTTTGATCGTCCTGTTAATTAACACTACTTAATTGGTAAACAGTTTCGTAGTGACTTGGTAAGTATAAATAATTATAAACATCTAATGGTGTGTGTTTTTTATTGTTTTCTTCTTGAGAAATGTTATTCCCTTTTTTTACATAGTCGTATAGATTTTTTTTGCTACTCGTATTGGATGTAACATTATGGGTATATGACACAGTTTAGGCCCGATGAGATATAGTAAGCGAGGTTGATACAAGTATATTTTATTTCCTTCATATTTTTACATAATTATTTAAAAACTGGATATTTCTACGGTAAAAATTAATAATTAACAAAATACCATTTTTCAAATCGGGGTTAATCAAGTTAACACATGTTTATTGTAGATCGAGCTCTAAAAATTATTTTGATGGTGTGATCTCGTATTTTAAATTTTAGCTATTAAGCATTATTAGTACAGTGAAAAAGAAAGAAACCTGTGGTAGCATAACGTTTAAAGATAAAAATGACCACCCAGTTACAAATATTTGTAGATTCTAAATTATTGAAACAACAAAAAAAATCACCAATATTTAATATTAAGTTTTACGTTATAAATAATTCAAAGAAATGACTCAGACAATACATACTATACATTTGAAACATGAAGATTTTCAACAACACAATAGTCGGGAGTCGTGCTGTAGCTTGCTTGCATTTAAAAAAAGGCATAAAATAAATACATTGACTTATGCAGATTTTTGAAACTTCCAGACATAAGTTTAGTTATATGAAGTAAAACACAATTCGTTGGTAATGTTTTTACCTAACATTTTACTACATTCATCTTATAAACACTAGATGTGACAAAATTATATACCGATGTTCCCTACTTCTCATAGAAATTTATTTCATTTGAGCATCTTTAAGACTTTTTCATCTGTGTATTCATAAGAATCTTCCTATTTCTCTTCGGTTCCGTAAGAAAGTCTAATTTGAGGTAAAGTTTTACACGGTTGTTTTTTTTCATGATGAAAATATTGTCAAGTTTTCAAAAGTACCATTTTCACCCCCCCCCAAACAAAACATGACATGTTTGTATATGAAACGATAAAGTCTCAATTACAGTTATTTGAATAATTTTATTTGTTGTTAAGCACAAATTTGCACAATGGGCTGTCTGTGCTCTGTCAATTGCTGGTATCGAAATAGAATATTTAGCGTTATAAGCCCGCAGACTTACCACTGAGCCACCGGGATATTAATTAAATAAGTTAACATACCGATTAAAATCCAAATAGAATCTAAACGTTCAAGGCTCAGATCCCGACCGTTTACGCATGATTGAAAGTTCTTATACTAATAGTTTCCACATGTTAACATCTCAGACCTGGATAATTTCCTGATACAGTAAGCTCAGATCTGGATAATTTCTGGGTGTAAAGACTCTGGTTCAGATTGTTTTCACGTGTTAAAAGTTCAGATCCTAATAGTTTGTACATGTTAAAACTCAGAGCAGATAATTCTGTAGATATTAAAAGCTGAGATCTGACTAATTTACTTATGTTATGAGTTCAGACTTCCACTTGACTTAAATGACATTCCTAACTTCTGATAAGTCCGCAAGTTTAAGTTATTCAGATCAATGAATGTATTTATTACAAGTTTAGATTGGTTGGTAATATATAATAGGTTCAAATCAGTGTTGGTTCTAAATACAAAGTTTGAGCCGATTTGAAGAACTTTTTCTCTGACAGAATATATTATGGGTTCATTCTGCAATAACTGCTCAAGTATTTTTATTTTTCTGTGGTTCGACGACATTGTTCCAGTCTTTGACTTACACAATGATTGATATCCCTGATTGGTTTATATACGCATTTGCTTTGTTTGTCTTTTTCATCCTTATTTAACTACTTTCACACTTGACCTTGACGAGAATCATTCTCTTGAGGAACGATTAAATGATCCGTTCTACTACCGAAACTATTCTGGAAGGACTCCGTGTTTGGGTCTATCAAGATGGTAGCATCCTTCATGGTGTTAACCAACACAGCACTAGGGGATAGTGGTTTCTTAAGCAACACAGTCGTCTCGCTGATGGAATCTTCGCTAGAAATAGGTAGGGAAGTAAAAAGACTTATTAAGACTGTTTATGCGAAGGATTAACAAAATGGTTCAGGCTTGAAGCTTTTAATATTGTTACAGAAGGCATAACAATATCTATAGGATGAGAAGACGATTCATTTATATATATGAACTGCAACAGTTTACTGAAAACTTGGATCTCTTTCCCAAGATTTGCAGTATTATTCTGTAGATCTCAGATGAACAATTTTGAGAGATGGGTACTAGAAGTCACCTCACATGCAGCCTCTCTCCATCTTTGTTATCTACCAAACAGCTCCTTCAGTACTATTGATCGTGGGAAGAAGATCTATGTTTTCAACAAGATGAAGCAGTTCGTATATGTCGCCTTTCATTATGAACATGTACACAGCCTAAATTCTCTGTCAAGGATCAATACCTATAGTTCGATAAAATAACTAAAAGTCTTATAAAAAGATTAAATAAGCAAATATAGCGAGCACCGAAAAATCTATTTATCAAAATATAGTTCAACTTAGTATTGAGTAATCTCAAATGATCATAATATAGAAACTAAGTAAGTTTGTTATATGATACGTTTTTACTTTCCATATCTGAACATGCATGGTTAAAACATTTGAAATACATCTCTTGCTGTTCTAGTGCCACGTATGTAGATAAACCTGGCACAGGAAGAGTTGTTTATTTTAGATACACACAGAAAGACACGTGATGCTGCATAATTACCTATATTTGGAGATAATTACTCGAAATACTTATAGGTTGATTATTCTCTCAAATTGTGAGAAGTATTAAGTACTAACATACAATACCCATGCTCCATTGCGGGGTTCTAAGGCCTCATCATGATTTACAAAGGTTCCCAATGTACTGCTCAAGCTTCTCTATTATCCCAAATTATTTCTATAGCTACCCAAGGGGGGGGGGGGTCCTACCCCTAAAAAACCGCACTAAGCCCCCGCCCGTGGTACACGAGCACCTGTGTCATGTTTAATCTCGCTAGTTTGTGTTCTTTCTTTAATAGGATCTAGATCCTTTTCGGGATTTGGGAGGGTTAGATACGATGACGACCTCTTTCTCCCGCCTACACTTATATATTGTACGACTGTTAAATGCTGAACATTTCATAAAAGAAGGTATTGAATTTATGTAAAGTCACTGGCATAATTACAATACCCCTATCAGGACCATGTCTGTTTATGTTAAACGTTCAGCATTCACACTGGTATACATTTCGCTTTACTTGGAATGTTTACAGTCTCAAATAATATCACAAATAGTCCCATATACTCCAGTGCTTATTCATTGGATACTATAACTGGTATGTACTGATATATATACCTTTTTCAATACATAACATGTATACGACACAAATGACATGTTATGTAAGTCTTGCAGTAGATGGCTGACTGCTATACTTATAATACATATTCATGAGTGAGAGGTACTTAGGCTCATTTCTATCATGTATGATATAGCAGTCGAGCGAACATAATAGTACATTTTTGTATAAGTGTTTCCGAAAGTAAGTGTGTGATATGTAAGTGTATGTAAGTGTATGATATGTAAGTGTATGATAAGTAAGTACATGATATGTAAGTGTATGATCTGCTCAAGAATCTGTTATAGAGTGGTTGTATATTCGCGAAGTTAGGTAAGAAGTTTGACCTTGTCGAACTAGAGACTTTGTATGCGCTAGTAAGGATGGAATTTTCTAATGTTTATAGTTGCTTTTTGATTTTGTGTGGTGCTACGTTAACCCATGCTGGACATGCATATTCACCTATCGGCCGTATATACTGTTTGTAGATTTTTAATATATTTTTTCGGTGATGTACCCGTATTCTTTCCAAACAGACTTCTGATCTCATTTACTCGCTTCCAGATTTTGTTTTTGATTCCATTAGTATAGGCTTGCCATGTTAATCTTGAATCTTGGGTAAGACCTAGACATTTTGCTGATGTAGCACTCTGGAGAACAGTTCCATGGAGATAAATTTCTGACTTGTTTTTACGAAATTTGTTTAATTTGGTAAGCACTAGTACTTGTGGTTTTGGTATATTGATTTTTGTTGTTTCTTTTGGCAGTATTCTGCTATATCGTTTGGAGCGGGTTGTTAGCGGCTGCAATAGAGGGCGTGTGGGAACTCTTCCAGATTGCTACATCATCTGTGAATTGCGATGCCGTATAACAGAAATTTGTATCTGTTAGTGGCATGTCGCTTACGTACATGATGAAGAGTATGGGGCTAACTACCCACTCATGTGGGACGCCTGCCTTAGGAGTAAAATACTCTGAGTAGGTGCCCTCAACATTTACTCCACATTTTCTATTATCTAAGAAGTTTGATAACCAACGAATAATACCTCGTGGTAGTTCCATCTCTAGCGTCTAGAACCTTAGACCCGAGTGCCAGATTGTATCGAAAGCCTTCTCTATAGAGATCGAGAAGAGATATAGATGATCGTGCACTCTTTTATTTTGTTAAAACTATCTAATGCGGTTTCAGTTAGTCTAATTAAGTGATCAGTGATTTGCCGAAATTTCCTGAAACCATTTTGTACTTTGGGTAATTTAGAGTTTCTTTCCAGATTTCTATTTAATCTGTTACTTATTACTCTTTCAAGAATTTTGCCTATGCAGCTGATTGGTCTGTGGCTCTGTGGTTTATTTGCCGGTTTCCCTTCTTTTAAAAACATGAACATATTCGCTTGCTTTCAAAAGACGGGGATATACCATGATATCAGGGACAGATTAAAGAGTACCTTAAAGTGTTGAAGCAATAGCTGAGTGACAGTTTTAGTAATATGGCTTGTATGCCATCTTACCCCGGTGCTTTGTTTCTGGTTTGTTTTATGGCTAGTGATATTTGCGTTGTTGTTATTTCACTTGTAATATATGCGTTCTGTGTGTTTGTGTTTTTCTTGGCGGTTGTTTGGTTTGTTTGTAATTAAGCAGAAAGCTACACAATGGGCTATCTGTTCTCTGCCCACCACTGGTATCGAAACCCAGATTTTAGCGTTGTAAGTCCGCAGACATACTGCTGTGCCACGTGGGGGGGGGGGCGGTTGTTTGGTTTCGTATGTGTATTGGAATTTTTTCTTTGTTCGATAATGTTATTTACGCGGTTTCAGTGATGGTCGTCCGTATCAGGGTCATTTTGTGTTTTGAAGGTGTTGTGTAGATGACTTTGAATATTTCGGCTTTTTGTGCATTTGTGTATGCGGTTTTGTTACCATGCGCTATTGTTGGGTAGGTTTTATGATTTTGTGTATATTTTTTTAAACGCTGCCAAAAGTATTTGTGGCCGTCTTGTTCATTTACTTTATTTGCAAAACTAATCCCAGTTTTGTTGTTTAAGCTGTCGTACTTCATTAATTATTTGACTGAGTTTATCTGTAGTTTTATAACCGGATCTCTTGTGTCGATGTACAGTGTGCGTAGTTTGTGTCTTTTTATCAATCTAGTATACCTCTGTGAGGTTTCCTTGTGTTAGTGCGTGTATATTGTTTGTGTTTTGGTATTGTAATGTTTGCGGTTTTAGTGATTCACTCAGCTATCGTTTGACAATAATCGTCCATTTCTGACGATCGCGAGTCACTTGTTTCAATAGGATCTGGTAATAGCTTTATTGTAGTTATAGTTTTGATGGATAATCGGTTTATTCCGGGGGGGGGGGAATCGAAGATACCCCATATTGGGAAATGAACACTATCTATATCTTTTCCTACTTGGAATTCTATATATTTGAGGCTTATTTCATCAACTGTTATACACAAATCCAGAATATCGCAAGTGTTTTTTGAAGTAGAACAGTGTGTAGGCTTACAGTCATCTAGTACTATAGAGTTATTACCGCATTTTCATGCAAATAACCCGCGGGCTATATGCGGGATACACTAGTATGCGGGATACACTAGTATGCGGGTAATACAGTATATTTTCTTTGTTTGCTTTTAAGACTGAAATTGACAATTTTCTATTCCGATTATTCGTTTACGTTGTTTTTGTTCAACACGTGGAGAGAATCATCAATTGGCCGAAAACTATGTCTGTTAGTAATCCCAGTTACCTTTATTCTTTTGGTCAAAGGACACAGTATAAATACAAATACTTTTGACTGTATTTAGCAGTATTTGAATAGATTACAACTGCGACTTAATTAATTACTCACGTATTCAAAGACGAGTAGTGTCACCATAACATTTAATCCGTGATTGGCTTCACCACGTGACGTAACCACAGGGGATTGAGTTAAGTTATCAACCAGATAGAAGTTGTTGTTTTTTGTAAGTTTAATCATACTATATTTAATAACAGTTCTTTTCACATGTTACATGCATATATCGAATTTGATATGAAATAATTAAATGACTATAATAGACAATACAGTTTCTTCCTGAATAAGTACAGTTTTCTCAGTACAACATATAGCAACAGAAGGAAAATACATTATATCTTTCAAATGAAAATATATGAACGTATGTCTATAACCTGGAAATGTTTTATTTAAATCAAAGTTAAAGGTAAATCGTCTTCAGTAAAGCCGTCAAAGTCCTCACCTTCTGTGAAACAGCTAAAGCAGCTCTGAGTCTTCTTATCCATAAGTCAGACCACTTTTCTTCAAAGCATTCAAAACGGTTGATACCTTGACAACATTCCATGCTTCTACAATACAACGACAAACTACGGCATAGCTGGCCTTCTTCATTTTCTCAGAGACTGTTTATTCGTGCAGGCCTTCGTTATTCATTTCTTCCAACATTCGCGGATCTTCAGTTTGAACACCCTGTTTATGATGAGGTCAAGTGGTCGTAGTTTCTTTGTGAGCTCTCCAGGTATCACGGCTATTTCAGTGTCAATTCTTTTTAATTTCTATTTGACGGAGTCGTACTTATGGACTGACATAAGTCAAATACTACGAGCGATTTATTATAGGTGAAGAAGCCCCCTGGTAGTGTAAAAGGATTCTTTAATTTTTCTCGTCTTCCAAAACGTGCCTGTGTCGCTGACTTGTGGGGTATACACAAGTGAGGGTATTACGTGCCTAAATGTTCCTTAAAGCACATTTTTTCCCTCATGTGCTGGGTATACCAGGGGGCGGGTTATTTACGTGAAAATACGGTAAGAAATGTAGCAGTCTGTTTCCATTCATATTTGTTTCGCGACATCCAAAATTTCTGTTTGCTATTAAGATCTCCTACCACTAGATAATTTATGCTATGATTAACTATATTTTGCAAAGGATTTGTAGCTAATGTTCTCGCTGTAGGGCAGTAGATACCAGCCACAATTATGACTGTTATTTGTAAAAGTCACATCTGCTATTATGCACTCATTTATGCTTGTGAATTTATGTTTGTTATAGCTAGTGTCGATTTATCGACTGAAGTAATGCACCGATTTTGATCTCTATTACCTGTTCGGTCTGTCCGGATTGTTGAGTATCCGGGAAATTGTATTGACGTATTTTTAATGGCAAGGTCTCAGTTATGAATATCATCTCTGCATCTATTTGTTTCATTTGATCTTCGGTCTCGTGTCTCTTGGAAACAATTTCACCTTGGATGTTCAAATGTAGGACTGTGTATTTAATTTGGTATGTGATTCATCAGTATTTGTATGATTTGTGGAAGCAGTGTTGTTAGCCATTTTGAGGCTGTGCTTATGATAATCGTCACGTAATTATCATGATTTGGTTTTTGGACTTCGGATATGAAGTCCAAGATTATGTTTATTACTGCGTTAATGACTGCTGTAAAATTTTGCTTATTTATTGTGTTGGATGTTTACTGGTGGTCATAATTGTTTTTATTTTGTATCGTGGTGGTGTTTGTTTGAATATCAGCATCACTTGTTGTTATTTTCATAGCATTTGTGGTATCTGATGTTACTACTGCAGCATATGACTTTTTAGTTTGCGGTTGTCTTCACTGCTGGTTGACTTTAGTTATGTCTGTCGGTTGTTGTTTTTGCTATGTACCGTTTTTCATGCTATATAATTGTTTTATACGCTTGTATTTCGGGCACCCTTTATAATTCGCCAGGTGTGTTTCTTTGTAGTTGCAACAATGTGGTTTGTTGTTTTCTTATTTTCCAATGTGATGTTATGTGTTTTTCCCCACAGCTAACGCACCCACGTGGGAGTGACCTGCACGCGGCTGATACGCATCCATATCTTTGACAGTTGTAGCACTTGGTGACTATAACTGTTGGCGTTTTTGCTGCTAGCTTGTGAGTAGGGGTATGAACATAGTTTCAAAAATGGCGTCCACGGATAAAGGAGAAGCCAAGAACGCAAAATCCGATGTCAGATTCGGTTTCAGCGACCCTGAAAACGTACTCCCAGACCCCATCATGTCTGGGTGACTTTCCGGGGACATTTTAGCTTTTCTTGGCACCTATCTTCTTGGTATGGGGGTTACATAATATAATTAAGAACCCTCCGGGCCATCCTGAGTTTGCCCGCCAAGTTTGGTCCTGCTAGCTCCTAAACTGTGAGAGGAGTTCGCGGGGAAATAAACAAATTCACAAACATGCGACATGAAGTAATGCAGAATAATTCTTTGTGAATTTATTTACAGAATTTTTAAATCGATATAAAATATTTACTATTTTCAATTAGTTAACAATTATTTTTATTACATACCCTTTTCTCCATAACATTTATTGAATATAACTCTTTTCAAGGTTATATAGTATACGCGTTCACGCCAGTGCCATATATGTAAATTTTTTTAATTTTTTTTTTTACCTGCCATCATCTTCAATAAGCGCTTCCTGGCGTCTTAAAGCCGCATGAACGGTTTGATTTCCCTTAGTAGGAATTGGCGACACTGGCTGTGTCAACTTCTCTGGTTTGAGTTCGTCGTCACTGTCACTTGGAATGGAGCTTTCAATGGAATCTAACGACACAAGCTCTCTTCTTCTCCTACTCTGTTCGGGCTGTGAGCTGAGGAGATTTTTTGTTTTGATTATTTTCTATTTCTTATTTTTAAACACACTGCCAACTACTTCTGCTATTGTGAAGCATAGAAAAGCAAAGTAAAGACATCAAAACAGACAGTTTTGGGGTGACTTTTACGACTGAATAAACATTTAGAAACATAATATATCGTCCTAACAGGGGTAGAAACAAGATTTTAAATGGTTCTAATAGGATGAAGTGGATGCGACAACTTTACCATGCATAATAAAGATAAAGTGACAACAGAAACTTTCACTACAGCAAACACACACCTCACACGATAATGAAGATATATGCTGCAACAGATAACTAAACTATTTCTGTCCTATGTATGAAAACACATAAATTACAAAAAAATAAAGCCCCCCCTAAAAATCTGAGTACTTTCGAAAAGTAAGTTTGTTTGTTTTTTGAATTTCGCTAGCCGTCCCTAATTTAGCAGTGTAAGACTAGAGGGAAGGCAGCTAGTCATCACCCCATTGCCAACTTTTGGGCTACTCTTTTACCAACGAATAGTGGAATTCAACGTCACATTATAACGTCCCCACGTCTGAAAGGGCGAGCGGGGGGGGGGCGGGGATTCGAACTCGCGACCTTCAGATTGCGAGTCGAGCGTCCTAACCACCCGACCATGCTGGGCCAGTCGAACAATAAGACTTTTTTTGCATCAACCATGGGCAATAGCAGTAGACTATTATCTCATGTACAGTCCAGTTATTTGCTATTATGATCCTTTAGAGTCTAGATACCTTCCCCCCTCTGTCAACACACATTGGCCTGCCATAGCCAGGTGATTAGGACGCTCGACTTGAAATCTCCGATTCGTGAATTTTAACCCCCTTCACCGAACATGCACACCCTTTCTGCCATGGGAACGCTGTAATGTGACGGCCAATCCCGCTCTTCGTTGGTAAAATAATAGACCAACAGTTGGCGGTGGGTGATGTTGACTAGCTGCCTTTCCTCTAATCTACTACTGCTTTATTAGGACGACTGGCACAGATAGTCTTCGTGTAGCTTTGCGCAAAATTCAAACCAAGCAGTTGATACACAAATTACAGATATTGGCAATACCCTCAAGGGAAGAAACTCACGCATGAACAACAAGCAAATAAAATATTAGTAAGCGATATTTAGATCTGAATATTCACAAAAACACGTACCGGAAAACGTTGCTTTTATCTGTACTTAAAAATGACATGCTCAAAACTGTATTTTTTTTTATTATTATTTTATGAAACAGGGTAGTGCAAGTTTTATTTCATTAGTTCTCTTAACATCTTCTCCCTGTTTATTTTTTCTCATTATGTAACTATGGAAGTACTGAAATCGTAATGACGTGTGGCTTACTAGTTTTATTTCTGTACAACAAATTACAGTTATTATAGCTGTATCATGTCTACTATATGTCGTTTCTACAAATACTAAAATACACTTAGGAAATGGTATTTTCATCCTAAAAGAACCTTATACGCACGTGTGCTAAACGGTGAGGACGGAGACCACTAAGGTCCAGGTATAGAGGCCATAATTTTGCACTAATGACCACAGGGAGGGCACTCAACCAGCAGTACCCGTCCCCACAAAGGCTTTGTCCAATTCTTTGATCTGAAGAATGGGATTGGCTGTTACTTTTATAACTCGCCTAAAACAGAAAATGGGAAGTTTAATAAATAGTATCACGTCTCAAGCACTACACCTATCGATCAGCAGCCCGATGTGTTAACCAATTGGGCACACGTGACCCAATATTCACTAACAGACGAAAAAAAGGAAACACAGGGAGTTGTATACACTGTCCAAAATATTGGGCAAATGAACTGTAAAAATTAGTAAAATTACTCTGCCAAAGAATAGAAAAGTTAAAAATTGTTACTGTTTCCCAAAATAGTATAAATCATCTATATAGTTAACTGAAAATTGCTTGAATTCCCAACAATCATATAAAACATCTATGTTTAATTGAAAATTGTCACAGTTCCCAACAATCGTATAAAACATCTATATAGTTAACTGAAAATTGCTAGAGTTCCCAACAATCATATAAAACATCTATGTTTAATTGAAAATTGTCACAGTTCCCAACAATCGTATAAATCATCTTTGTTTAAATTAATGTTATTACAGTTTACACCAATAGTATAAACTGTTTTTGATTAAAACGAATAAACTCTTTAAAAATAATCAGTGGTCATAAATGTATTATTTAACAGATGTAATGATTCATGGGGATTTACGAATAATTAGTTCTATTTCAGTAAACGTTTAAATAATTTCCTTCTTAAATATAATAAGAAATATAGAACCAATCCTCAGGAAGAGCTTTGAAAAATATGGTATAGGTTATGGTACCTAGGTAACGTTTATTATTGATATCATACTTTATGTTTGAAAAATATGGTATAGGTTATGGTACCTAGGTAACGTTTATTATTGATATCATACTTTATGTTTGTAACTACAAATTCCTGAATTCTGACCCTTTGTAGCTTCGTAATTTTGACAATAAACAAACATGTCAGGTAATGCGGCATTTCCTGAGGCTTTATAAGAATAAGTTATTTTAATGTAATATTTCAACTCGCTGTTGAATTCCCTGTGTGAAGATCATATCATATCGGTCTCTTCCATGGGATCATGCACGCTGTTCGAAGTTCATGTAATAAAAGAATGAGAAATCTGCCACTGGAAATTCCATAAACTATCACTCTAAATGAGTCTTTTTTTTTAAAGAATGAATCGGGGAAAATTATTATTAAACAATAGGGTACTTGTAATATTTTCCAAAAAATACGAGGCGAGGAAGATTCTTAACACCTGCCAGACCAGCATCTTTTAGGGCTCAGCCCAGGATGGTCAACAGGTCTTTATGAATGAAGCTCGGCACAACTTCTAAGACCAAAAACTAAACTAAACTAAATATTAATGAAAATAGACATGATGAAATCTATATGATTATATTATGGGGTACTATACTGGGCATTATATCATCCTTCTTATACTTACCCTTCATTGCAGAAATGACATTTTAATTTTGAGAATCGCCAACGAAATCATCTTATAATGCATTGTGCATCTGCTTCAACTTTACTGCTTTACTGTGCCGTTAGTTTCACAAAATATTGAAACTAATGATTTGTTATACATGATTCCAATCCCACCCTTTGAAGATAACGATACTATATGTCCGCTTTTTATGTTTCGCTATCAATGCGGTAATTAATTGACGAACCTCTGATTCAACTAGTATCGATTGGAATATCTGCAAATAAATTCAAGTTTTCCCTCATCCAACTTGGACCCACGTTTTAGCTTATTGTTTGTTTTTTAATTTCGCGCAAAGCTACACTAGGGCTATCTGCGCTAGCCGTCCCTAATTTAGCGTGTAAGACTAGAGGGAAGGCAGCTAGTCACCACCACCCACCGCCAACTCTTGGGCTACTCTTTTACCAACGAATAGTGGGATTGACCGTCACTTTATAACGCCCCCACGGCTGAAAGGGCGAGCATGTTTGGTGTGACGGGGATTCGAACCCGCGACCCTCAGATTGCGAGTCGAGTGCTTTAACCACCTGGCCATGCCGGGCCGTTTTAGCTTAAACACTACACTTAAACCATCACATTCACACCTACATCGAGAAAATTGTACTTTACATTTACAAGTTAACTTCTCTATTTTTGACTGTCATGGTCTTGGGTTAGGTCATGGGTCTGGTCCAGCGACTTAGATATCGAAAATGGTGCCAAATGTCTAATCAAAACAACCCAAACCTTTCCGGAATGACTCATTCTTTTGGGTCCATATCACGATATTGGGCTGGCTCGTGCGGCAGGTATTAAAATTGATTTGATGAATAATTCTAATAATTATCAAAAGATTATATAACATTATTGATATGTAGGTTCAGGGTGAACTTATCTAGGGACATAATCTTACTTGAAATAAAAAAAGATATTACATAAGAAAAATCAGTTGTCTAAGCAGACTCGGATCTTACCGCTGTCTCTGAAGAGCCCAGCTTTGTTGTCTTGCCCTACTTCTGGTGGGAGAGGAAACTAACCCTTGTGACTCAGAAGTGACGGGACCTCTTGTTGTAATATCTTCTCGCACAATAAGGAATTTTTCACGGACTTTTTCTGGCGTCTGTAATACAACACTGGATAATCCAAGCTTTTGCCGTAGCTTTTCTCCATCAGTCGAATAATCTGTTGTAAAATTATCATCGGCAGTAGAGAGTATAGATTCTGAAGAGGAAGAAAATGCAGTTCGATTACTTTTTCGAGAGGATTTGTCCCCGAACTCGTGTGAAGGGTCTTGTGTCAAGCTCTTCGACCGTGGACTTGTCGGGCTGGTCGCTTTATGGTGTCTTAAGCTCGGACTAGATTGGGTCTCGTGCCTTTTATACGGTCTTCGTGGCGACTTGTGTCTTGGTCCATGAGAGTCTAAATCGTCATCTGACGAAGACATTGCTTGACTGCCCATGCTGGTTTTCGATAAATTTCGTGGTAGTTTACCTTCTTGACATTCCGGAAGTCTTTCATTCACGGGCGTGACACTAGGGGAGCTGCAAGCACTTGACCGACCACGGTCAGAAAGTTTTCTTGACCTGTCACCTTTTTTTGGCTTAGGACTATTTCTTCCTCCAAAACGATGTTTCTCTGTTGAGCATGGAGTTGAGATATCTGGAATCTGCAGACTCAGAGGAGAAGGCTTACGGTTCTGCTTATTTGAAGCGTTATCTCGTTCCATTTTCTGATATTTTTCAAAAGCCACAAATTTCTCAAGTTCTTTGGCACTTGTCACTTCTCCTTGTTTAATTTTAACATCTATAGTGTCTAATACAATTCCTTCATCATCTATAGAGTCTTCAGTACTGGTTGTCTGGTAAGAAATACGTTTACTTAACTTTCTACCCAGAAAGTGACCTATATCTTTCGGCGGAGGAAACAATGCACCACCAACAGATGCTCTTCGCTCTGGAAACCACGAGGGGTCTCGTTGATGTGGAACTTGAAGACATGAGTAGATCTGCTGGGGAGGAAACTGAAATGCATTTTCGCATTTGGTTGCCAACAGGCTAGGCGAAAGTAAGTGGGAAGCTTTTTGAGGTAGATACAATTTTTTTGTACTAACTTCCAATTCTTCCGCTAAGGGGCTGCTGGAATTACACCTGGACATACCGGGACTCGACAAAGAGGAATAACCAGAAGTGCTCAGGTTGGATTCGGAGATGGTTCTGTCAGAAGAAGGGCACATAGCAGTCAAAGGACTAAGGTAATTCATTAAAGGAGGCTTTGTGTTTGGAGTTTGAGGAGGACTAGTTTCTTCAGAATCACAAGAGCTCAAGTTAGCCGTGATCAGAATTTTTGGAGTAGACAGTTCAAATGAGTGTTTTTCTGGAATAGGAAATTCTAATAACTCTTGTTTTGGAGACGCTGTACTTGGCGGTGTGGGAAGGTTAATTTCAGAGATATCGTCCGCTTCGGTTGCTGCGTCATCTATTGGTAATGGATTAGCGTCAACGGGACTTGACACCTCCAGCAATACGTTTGGAATTACTGGTGTGTTATTAGAAAGTTCTGTATTCTCTGTTGATGGATTGATTTGATAAGGTATTTCGTCATTCGTTATCGTTTGTGTCTTACAAATATCGTTATCCTTTACTGGTTTTTGTGGCTCAGAGAAACTGTCGACTTGTGGCACAGGAATACTGGGAACTTCTCGAGTTGGCTTATCTTCAATACTCTCACAATCAGACTGTCCAGATGCTTGTTGAGGTGAAAGAGATATTTCTACTTTTGTCTCGCCCATCTTGACGTCACAACTTAGGCTATCTGAGGACGAGGCTTGTTCGAAAGACTGTTCTTTGATGGAATGGAATTCAGTAAATGATGGCGCCGAGTAATGTGGGAATCGAGGTGAGAGCTTTCCAATAAATGATGTCTCGGCAACATCTTCACTTTTAGTCGACATGTCAGACATATAACCCTGATTTTCATCCTTTGTGGTATTCAGTCGGATTTTTTTCCCATTCATTTTAATAAAATCATCTAAACTCATCCTTCTGTTTTTAGATGACTGGTTGGAGTGCACCAAAGATGCTATGATACGTGATGTTTCGACTTCGTTTTTTTCCGATTCACTAGCTTTGTAGCTTTGTTTTCTGGAGGAAAAGCTACGTTTTAGGATATCGTCAAAACTAAACGTTCGAGCCTGATCTTTGTCCGAAGGACTGTGGTGGTTATTTCTAACACTACGAATGCTGTGTTTACGAATTCTATTCAGAAAAGACTTTGAACAAGGCTGAGGACTTGTTGCAACTGGAGTGAGACTTGCTTGGTTAGAGCTTAAGCTGTAGCGTGTCCCTACGGGGGATGGATCTGTTCGAAAAAACAACAAAATTTTGGTTTTTAATTTAAAATTGATACGTAACAGGTGGTGTAACGAAAAACCTTCACTGTAGTTATGTGAAGCGTATTTTTTTAGTTAGAAATACAAAATGATAAGCAAATTATACGCACGTACTTACACACATATATATATAACACTTAATATATATACATATATCTTTAATATTGAATTGAAACAAACTCTCCAAAATAATGCAACGCACACACACAAAACGAGTAACTAAAATATTCATTAATATTTTTTTGGAGTTCGTAAATGTAGAGTTAAATATACATATTTATTGGTTTTGTTTGTGTGTTGATTGTTAAACCCAAATCTACACAATGGGCTTTTTATGCTTTGCCCATTTCAGGTATCGAAACCTGATGTTTAGCGTTATAAACTCTTAGATATACCGCTAAACCACCAGGGGACGTATTTATATCCTGCTTTGCATTGCAAGTAGCCATGGCTTACAGTTCGCCTGTAAATAGTGAAATATGTCTGCTGTCACAGCGAAACATCTGTCTCCAAAACAAGCTAACTAATAAAATATACTAACTGTGTGAACTGAACAATGATCACTATTTCATTACGTAATTATATCTTACATAATTTTGACATAAAACTGGCACTGGTATTCTCAACCAGAACGAAATCTTATGCAACATGAATTAAATAGCCAGGTCAGAGACACCATGGTTTAAAAATAGTCGTCTCTGATTTAGAATTGCAAATCAAAGCGGGGCTAACCAGATGGTAACACCTGCCGCCTACTCTTAATCGAATATTGAGATTAGTTTTCACAATTATAATTTTGAAATTGCTGAGCGTAATGAGTAGCATATTACTGTTCGAACCGTGGACATTTTTGCTCGCATCCCGGCACATTAAGCCACGCTCAGCCCTGACATAAAACTGAAACGAAGTTATAAAATTTCCTTCATAAATAATAACGGTAATTATGTTAAGCAAAATCAACATACAAATAACCAATATGTATATTGTATATTGAAAGATTTTGAAATCTTCCTCTCTAAATCTTTTCCATTCTCTTAATGCTTCTTAATAATAAGATAGCTGTAAATCGTCTTAAGACATGAAATGATAGATATTAGTTAGAATAATACAAATTATACGTTACTATGAACGCACAATTTTTACTTCTTTCTATTTCTTCAACAAAGAACTTTTCAATCTTGTCGGCAAATTTCCGCTTGATGCAGTAAACCAGCAGAATGACGAACAAAACAGCACTAACGGTGATTAAGCCTAACCAAAAGGGCTCCTCCAGCATTCTTTTACTTAATGGTTTGTAAATAATCCGAAAAACGTATCGAGAACATCGAGGCCCTGTGAAAACAAAAGTTCATAAATATACAGGAAAATAATATTTTATTTATTTTTGGTTTGTTGTGATAATGAATCAAATTCTGATACGTTTTAATTTTCAGAAGTAAATGAAATGTTCACAATTTAGCCACAAACATGGGTAGTGGTAAGAGGGAGGTCTGTTTGGGCTGAAGCCACCTACCTACCCCAAAATATGCATCAGCCTCTTCTGTAGACCCCTCATCTAACGGAAAATGCTTATCGTTAAAGCTAAATACCACAGTACGTGTACTCACAAGATGTAGATGCAGATCCTTACATTTTATTTCGTATCCCAACTCAGCACCCCTTCACCGGGAAGAGGCTGGCGCCGCCCCCACCCGTAGAAAGCTACCTAACTGAAAATTAAAATAACGTTTCTTCAAATTAAATAAAACAACAATCAAATTAATGTTTTTAATCTTCAACAAGTATAAAAAAATTAAATAAAAGTATAATGAAGTAGGAAAGGAAGCACCAAAAAATAAAGCGATAAGGTAGGAATGGGCCGGATAACATTACATAATTTGTGGTTTGTCGACACGGTACAACCTCAAATTTGGTGTGGCCATCGTTCCGCCCATTCTTACTTCATGTGCTTTTTGTAACTTGGTAATTGTTCAAACTAAATGTATGTGTCTAAATTTCTATTTTGTAAACTTAGTTTCAACAACCAAGAACAGATACATGTATGTGATCAATGCACGTGACCCTAACGAAATGCATAATATCATAAGGGTTTTTTTTTATGTCTGAAGTCAGACAGGAAGCTCCAATAGTCATGCTTTGCTTATGAGAGATATTATAGCTATCTGACTGGTAAGGGGTGTGCCAAAAGAATAGTATCAAAACCGCTGATTTTTGAAATTTTGAAATTTGTTGAGCATTTAGAAAGGATTAGCTACTGATAAAACTCAATTCAAGTCTATAATTGGACCAAAGTTCAAATTAAAACACGAAGTAGAAATGGGCGGAACGATGGCCATATCCACTTTGAGGTTGCACCATGTCAAAAAACACCAAGTGCTGTAATGTTATCCTGCCCATTTCTACCTTGTTTCCTTACTTTTTGGTGTTCCCATTCCTGCTTCCTAATTTTTTATATTCAAAAATGTTTCACACGTGTATCATAGCTTTTTTTTTTGGTACTAAGTCTCGAGAGTGAATGGGCTCTAGGCCTATTCTCCTCGTAGTTTTTCTTAGAGCTATCTCTTGTCATTTCATGGCCTTTGTTGATATCTTTGCTATAGTTTTTATTTCATCTAGCGAGGGTGGAAGCCTTTTCTTTTGCTATATTAATGGCTAAGGCTTGTTTTTAACCTTATCTCTATTCTTAGAGTAATGCTTTCTTTGCTGGGGCAAAGACTTTTCAAGGTTATCAACATAAGATTTTCTCCTTTTCTGGCGTTTTGTTTCTTTGAAAGGCATATTTTAAAACCGCACTGTTTCAAGTACAATCGTAGATGTCAATAGGTGACACTTAGATTGAAAACAATGCAAAAGTAAATTATACAACTTATCATTCTTGTTTTAAGTTCAGAATGCTTGAGCAAAGCCGTGTCAGACTTTGTCAGTGGTAGCGTTTGTCCTCACGAAGGAGTCTCTCGTCTTAGACACCGACTGCTTTGATATAATTGCTTTTTCCAACACAGAACCCCCGAGTCAGGTGTATAGAACTGAAAACTTCGCTTTCAAAGGTTAGGTTATAGTTAGAACCTAGATCTAGAGAATCTACATAGTCCATGTTTTTTATCTAGTTGATACAGCTGCAGGCTAATCATGTAATGTATGCGCATAAGGAATCGTGCACCCTTCGTGTGATATGAGGGCGGGGGTTTTACTTGGCAACTCACAGATCGTGCTCGTTATCATAGAATATGGCTACTAGAGTATTGTTAGCTCATTAGTAATGTTGCAAAATGGTTATTGCTATTACTTGTTATTACCAAAGTTATAAGTAAAACTAAGAAAAATGCTTTTAGCCAAGGTAATGTAATTCAATCGTGTACATTTAGATTTGCATAAGCTGAAGGCAGGAGAGAGCTATACCTTTCCAACAATATTAGTTAGTCAGATAGACAAATCTGTAGTTTTGTGAAATTTTTGTTTTTACCCTACCGACTTTCTCAGTTGTTTCGGTGGCTTGTTACTCTACAGTTGGTTTGTTTACTACTCAACAGTGTGTGTAAAGCGCTTATAAAGTTATTTACATGCTGTTTGCAGTATGCTTGAGATTATAATTTGTATTGCATATATTGCACATCTTGCCCATTCCTATTATAAATACTACCATACTTATGATATCTAATGTTTGAAAGATTGTCAGCAGATTTTCTTTTAAAGCTAAGATGTATTCACCTTAAAACCACTAGTAACTGTCTGCTAAATATTCATGCTTTATAATCTTATGTATTCACCTAAAAACAACTAGTGACTGTATGCTTTATAATCTTCTTCGGTATTTATCCTTTTAATCAGTGAACAGAATATTAAGATCTCGATGTCATAAGTTCCATTCTCAAGAAGCAAGTACCGGTAATTCTTGAAAGTTGATTTTTAGCCTACTCTTGTATATTTTACAGAAGCTAACCCTTTAACAACTGGCTGGACTTTTGGTTGTGAAAATTTCTCCCTAGGTGGTAGTTGTTTATTAGACAATGTTTATTTTTCTGTGCATTGCTAAATAAAGAACAATATATGTCGAAAGAAATAACATATCCAGGTCCTGAAGTACTGAATATTTAATGAGTAAAAAATAATAAATAACAAGCAAATACAAAATGTTTTCAGTCAAGGAAGGACATTTTTATTAAGAAAACAACAACAACTAGACACTTAAGTTTGATTGGTTATTTCGTCAACTGAATATCATTTCCGAAATGAACTCATTTTATCAGGTTTAACTCAGATATTTCATAAGTTACGTTCGCCGTTTTTATTAGTTTCTAACGTACCAACTACTTTGAGCAGCTATTTTTTTACATATCAGTGTTCGTTCATCGTGTTCTTGATATGTGATTTCACCTCTTTTCTCCATTTCTCAAACAACAACAACAAAAATCTAAATCAACTTATTTAAGATATTTCATATTCTTACCTTCATACCAGACGTGACAGCGACAGAAGAATGTGTTATTTACGACCGAACAATCACCATGTTTACCACAAGGGTTGGGATTACAGGGAGTCACAGCCTGATCACAGTGGTCACCCGTAAACTCTTCGGTACAGCTACATTTGTAACCATCATTAGTAGCACTACATGTTCCATAATTTCTACAAGGGTTCAGGCTACACCAGGGAAGGTGGCAAAATAAACCTACAGTACAAATTAAACAAAGAAAAGTTCTAAGGGCATACTTTTTAGCGTCCCATTCTGTATGTTTAACTGAATTCTATCCTTCTTCTAGGAACTTATACAGCCATTTCAGGAATTATCTAATGAAGTATTCGATGATGGTAAATCACACACATAAGTTAGCTACAAGGAAAAACAAAAGTGCTCGGTGGAGATCTTTAGGTAAGTCTTATCCATTCTGATAATTTGAATTATTTCGCGTGCGCTTTTATAATTACACGAACTTTTCCCAGAATCAAACTGCTTAGTATGTCTAATGAATTGTAGATACATAAAGAAAATATTAGTTTAAATTGATGCTTTAATCAGTTTTGTCTTAATTTAATTCAACGGAAACTGGCTGAGCCATGTGATGCGTTACTGGGATTAAGACCAAAAACCCCGTATTTAATTTTTGAATTAATATGGTTGAGATGACCTTCTGATTCGTTGTATAACCTTAATGTAGCGAAATGTCACTTCTACTGTCAAAACGTTTAAACTAAATCTTATAACTAATTTAGATACCTAACATTATCAATAGATTTATATCTAAGTTGTTTTTGTTTTAAATGACCACGAAGAAATAATCCTAAATATCACAACAGAACAACGAAAACATTGGGATGTTTACAAACAGTTTTGGCACTAAGCTTCAGTTAGAGGGAAAAATTAGAAATCAGCACCCCAAATTGAACCGATTCCCCCACCTTAAAATTAAGTCAGTCGCTCAAAAATTGCTATATTTTGGTGGCAACTTTGGACAAAATAAGATCCGCTTGACCAATTCTTCATATAAAACTTTGCACACCTTTAGGGTTCGATCGCTTGCTTCGAAAAGTGCACAAAACTCAGTCAATCACTGAACAATCCAAGTCATTGAAACTCCCAAAATTCAGTCAATCACTGAACAATCCAAGTCATTGAAACTCCCAAAACTCAGTCAATCACTGAACAATCCAAGTCATTGAAACTCCCAAAACTCAGTCAATCACTGAACAATCCAAGTCATTGAAACTCCCAAAATTCAGTCAATCACTGAACAATCCAAGTCAATAAAAGTCGTTAAAATTAGTAGAACAAAACATTTAATTTTTACTCTTTCTTCTACTTCACAGTTTTCTTCGCCTCTTTCGTTTACATTTTAACGTTTTCGAACAATCTCCGTCTATAATTACTGTAACTTCAACAGGAATCACATCGCCTCTGCTTCCATAATATTCGTATTTCATGCAAATATCACACCTTTCAAACGATCGAAACTAGGATAACAATCTTTCAGTGAATATTGACTAGTTTAGCACTGAACACAGATCTTCTGTGGGTAAACTACTTTGCAAAACTCAATGAGATTTCACTAAAATCTTGACACAAACGGGATCTAATTTTCAAACGAAAATTTTTCTGCAAGAGGTGAACCGATGAGCACAATAGTTGTATTGTTCGAAACCTCTAATACTAAATTATCGTAACATTTATTATTTGTCAGATACAGTGACGACTAAAACAGCCACTAATTTCTGTACGCTGTGACCATTGTGGTGATCGAACCCCAAATTTTAGAGTTATAAGACTTTAAGCTTACCACTGAGTCACCAGTGAGGGCGCTATGTGAAGGAAAAGCTCACATGCATAATGATTAGTGCTAAACGTTACCTGAACTGACAACCCGATCCCTTTTCATTTAGAAAGTAAGTATTGGTAGTTAGTGAAACAAATGGAACAATTAGGTTACTTAAAATATGTTCATTATAGATTAAAATTGTCCATTGGTAAACCTCTTTCCTATAATAATAATGATGATGAGCGGTTGGTTATAAAGTTTTGCACCCAGTTCAGCTTCTCAGCTACCTTCATCAAATGTAAGAAGCATTCGCAGGTTCTTCTTTTACATTGGGTCAAAACAACTACCAACGCCATCTGGTATGGATTTTTTTCTCCAGGTATCTCACTGTATGATGACAAATTTTCACTCAAATGTCTAAGCTACATCCCCTTCTCTAAACCGGATGTAAAACTTTATAACCACCTTGTGCAACTAATAATACTTGTAACAAAAAGAGGTCTTAAAAACACTTTGTTTTCTAAGAGTACTGGATAACTCTTAATGAGCAGAAATTATTTTTTACATAAGTTAAGGTAATGAAATAGCTGTTTACCGGTAAAGTGACCAGTACATTGGCATTTAAACCGTCCTTCAAGTACTTCTACACATGATCCGCCATTTTCACAGAAACACCCATCTAATGAACGTGAAGAATTCAGTCTTAGAGATTTGTTAAGGATGTATGAATCTGAAAAAACAATGAACAGCATTCAGGCCGAATAAAACAATTTAGAAATAAACTGTTTTCCACAACAGCGATGATTTTATAATTAGCGTTTAAATTTGTATAAAAAGAGTTAAACTTTTCTTTGTTTAGATTTCAAAACTGAAAATATGGCGTTACCGTCTTAACTAGCTAATAAATAAATAAATAAAAATCAGAGATTACCGTTCATAATTACGATATATTAAATGTTTTCTTTGCTACCTTTAATGTATGTTAAACTAGCTTCATTAGTTTATTTTAAGATTAAAATATATTACGCCAACTTCAGTTTGTACATATAGAACAATTTCCAAACTTTTAAGCTCTTCACTTGTTAATTATCGAAGGATAATTAGACGCAAATTCAACAATATTTGTACATTGTATTTAAACCAAGTATCTATAAATGGTGATATAGTGGAGTTATTGAATGAGTGGCTATTATTATAAGTTTTCAGGAAAACGACAATCAGGTTTCATTGTAAGCTATCTTACAAACTCGCGGATGAAGAAAAAAATCGAATTCTTTTCAAAGTACTTTTTTTACTCTCTTCAAGGACCAATTGCGGTCAAACGAGATATTATTTCTGTCGAGACACAAATAGACAAGTGTTTGGAAAGTTATATGTCACACACGCCTCCTAGTAACAGGTAAGGAGAACAATACAAGAACGTACGTCACAGCAAGCAGGAGTAATTTTATATGATTTGAAGAACAATTATTAATATCCTTAAACAAAAGAGGAAAAGCTATAGGTAATGTTTCTGAAGACAGATGTCACGTCATGTCTTATAATTAGCGGACTGCCTGACCTGTAACAATCAACATCCTCAAACAAACAAAGGAGAACTGTAGCTAATAACATTAAGTTAATCGTGATGTTACCTCGTAATAAATGTTTTACGTCATAAGATGTCAACTGTGATTTTATAAACGCTACCTTAATAGTTAGAAAACGACGAAGGAACAATAGACGTCGTTAGTGTCGACAGCAATTTTTAAACTATACACATTCCTCTTTTTTACCTAATTTGACACCTGTAACCCCGAAACGCAATAACACTGATCACAAAATAAACGCAACTTAAATTGCTCAATTTGCATCACTTCCGAGGTGACGTCATACTTCATGAATTGTGAAAATTAATATAGTAATCTCAAAACGAAGTAAAAGAAGCTCTTACCTAATATAACTTTGTAATCAATAGTAAACGGTCTCCACCGTGTAGCATTGTTGGTCGTCCAAAAGTCCAGGTGAATGGAATTAAAAACTGACTGGAACTGAAATTCACTGGATGTCTCCAGATCGTTGCTTTCAAAGCAAAGCGTCCTTACAGAGTCACGTTCTTTATATATGTCACGCACAACAAGGAAATTACTGTCACAACCTCCTTCGCTCCAAAAGGCTTTGGGAAAGTAAAGAATTAAATAGGTGCCTAAGACGGTCACTATCTGTTGCGTGTAGTTAATGCTCTCTGGTGGACTGTGTGGGTAGTTCATACTTCGTAAAATTCCGTTCCAGTTGCTACTGATGTTTAACATTGTCTTCACCTGGCGGCCATTCCCTGATAGGAGTACTATTATGAGTTAAACAACAACGACATGTCAATATTAAGCTTAAATTGGCAAACTAATGTATTTTCTCTACCACATAACTTATAAAAACAAACATTAGTAGTATACAAATTGCTCTAATCCAACAAATCCTTTTTGTTACAGAAACGTTTGGAGTTTAATATTGTTCATATTCAAGCCATATTAAACATTTAAGCTTAAGAATCTCCTGCATTAGTGCTGAAGAGGAATGCATATTTGATGGCTGTTCCTTAAAATGCATGGGTTCATTCTCTTTTATATTCAAATGGATCGATCATGTCATGATTAGTGGTGTATTAATATCTCACAGGAAGATCCATCTCTGCCAGTCAAACAACACAACTTCACCTGCCACTACTCTAATCGTTAAGTTTTCAAGGAAACAGTACGGGACCTGTGTAAGATATGTTAGTAATAGAACATTATTCGACCATATAACAACTGATAGCATTATTTTGTGTTGGCACGCCCATAGGAGACCGCCATATTAAAGCTAACCGGAAGTAATGTCGTACAGAACTTATATGGACAGACATGACGTCATTAAATACGATATCAACCACTGGATACCACCATCGTAAAGGGTCAACTTGAAGTGACGTCACCTATGAGGTCAAGACCAATTCTGCACTTAAATCGAGGGAGGTGAAGGGGGGGGGGTATCCAAGATGTCCACGCACAAAGGAGGGCATCTACTCTTAAAATTTGCATAACGAGGTTGTTGACTCGTTGAGGCCCATAACTAAGTTAGCTATGTTCCAACTACAAAATATGAAAATATTTTGAAGGCTCCGTTACAGCGAGTAATTAAAGGTTAAGTTCCATAAGTAGCTGAAGGCTGTTCCCCTAGAAATCAAAATAAGTACAGCTATAATAAAGTAAAATAATAGAAGCAAAGAAATACAAATTTGTGAATTTTGTTTACTTAAATGCATTGTTGGAGAGGGTGGACCGTTACAAACCGGAGGATAAGATAAGATTTTTTAAAGACTGTAACCCACCTTTAAGCCATTAAATTTGTAGTGCTTTTTTTTGTTAAATATAAACTTTATCAGACAATTATCACATTTTTGTAAATTTACATTATGAAATTTGAAATTATATATACATACATGCCACTGTAATAAATATTTCAGCTGATAGATGAAGTTAAGAAAAATCTACCATTCTAATGCACATCTGTATAAAACACGTTAGTTTCTGTTGAAAAACCGTGTATCTGTGTATGAAGATCCGTTGTAAAACAAACTAACGCATCGGGTTTAGAAACTCTGGTTATCCATATTGGTTAAATAAGAAAGACAGAATGGAAAATTATTGTATACACTTGGTTCCACGTTGTTCGTGCTTGTGAACCTTCATTTTCTTTTGTTTTCTGTGTCATTCATAATAAATTGTAATGTCAAGTAATTCAGTTTGATATAAGAACTAGCTCGGCTTCAAATTAGCTACAATGGTCCATTTTTTTATTTTAAGAATGTGAGTCACGTAAAAGAAAAATTTGGTGATCATTAGGTTTGATAAACTAATTTTATTAAAGCTATTCAGGATGGTTTTGGTTTGAGATGTTCTTAAGTACAAAGCTACACAATGGGATATCTGTGCTTTACCCACCACGGGTATCGAAACGCGAATTTCAGCGTTGTAATTCATTTAGGAAATTATCAACAACAACAAAAACTTTACATGTTTTGAATTCTATAGCGTCAAACAAATACTTATTTCTATAACTTTGATGAAACAAGCATTTTCTACAATAGAATTGGACCGAGAACATAAATAATTCGAAGATAAAATATGGACCCAATCTAGGTTAAGTTTGTATTGATAACCATTCGTTTTAATCAAACTTGTCTGTTTGTGTAAGTGAAAAGTTTTAAGGCTATCTACTGCCTTCCCTAATCCTGAACTGCCGACTAGAAGGATTGACCATCAAATTATAACGCCCTCATGGTTAAAAGTGCAAACATGTTCGGCACCGAATTTTGTGTCCACGATCTAAAAATTACGAATCGAGCGCCCTAACCACCAGGTCGTGCCAAGCCTTTGTATGAGACTAGCAAATGATGCAATATTTTTAATGAGGTCTACTTTACCTTATTTTTTGTTTCGCGAGAGAAAAGATGTGCTAAAATGATTCATTTAGTGCTTATTTCAAGTCTGTAGGTTGGACTGGGTTTATGAGTCTATATTTTACGTCAGTAATCCTCACCTAGTCTGAAACAAAAAGTGCTAGAATTTCTTTATTACATATCGTAAATTTGATATAAGTGAGTGCTGCTTTTAATTCCTGCTCTCGTCACACCTACCCTACTAAAATACAAAACAGAATACAAGCAACCTATCTGCTAGGTAATTATCTCTAGTATTGGAATTCTATTATGAAAATACTAAACAGAGTAACGAGTATGTTATATTAAACAATTCTGAATATGAAAATCAGAAAGTCTCGTGACAATCACAGTAAATAACATCGTAATGGAACGACATGTATCAGAACTACATTTTGATATTACTTAGCCTTTTGTTTGTTTTTGCGCAAAACATTCATTTGAATACTTAATAAATCCAACGTTCGGTTTATGTTTAAGGAAAGTAGTTAAGAAAAACAGTGTTAATATAAGCATTCGTTTGTGGTTAAGCACAAAGCTACACGATGAGCTATCTGTGCTCTGTCCACCACTGGGGGCCAACATAAGCAGTAAACAGAAATGAATGACTCTTAAATAATGGAGTGAAACATTTATATACAAATTCTAGATACACAGGTTCATAGCCTACACTGACGAAAATATGCTGAACCAATATATTTTCTCAGCTTTGCTTACTATAATATTATTTCGTCAAATGCGCTACTGGTTCTTCTAATTTTCTAATAAAATATTCGTCTTGGTAATGTACTAATGAAGGATTATTCGTTTGTTGAATTTCGCGCAAAGATACTCGAGAGCCACCTATTCTGGTCGTGAGAGACTAAAGAGAGAGAGGGCACAATTAATCAATACAACACACCGCTAACTCTTGGGCTACTCTTTATCAACAAAAACTGAGAATGACTATCACATTATAACGCCCTCATGGCTGAAAGGACGAGCATGTTCGGTGTAAGGAATCGAACTCACGACCCATAGATTGCAAGTCGAGCACCCTAACAACGAGGCCATGCCAGGCCACTAATGATAGAAAGCCTCGTCGACATTGACCCGCTATAAACAAAGTTTAGCTGAAGTCTTATCAGTTGGTCGACTAAAAGATGAAGCGTTTAAGGGTATTAGCAGTCTTATTATGTTTCTTCTTACTTTTTATTCCAAAGTTATAAATGTTATCCTGCCCGCCTTACCGCATCTTGTAATGTTTTGAATGAAAGTTGATCCTATGGATACATCAAGATAAAATCAACTAGTTATCTGCAGTTTGAAAGCAATAAGCTACGAACGCTTTGTCACTTGTGAGGGAAAACAATTACTGAAGTTTATATTCACTACGAATTCTTAATAAGCAGCTTGGTTTTTGTAACTTACAAGTCTCGAGGGTGACGTTAAACCCTCTTCCTCCATGTTTGTTGGTGAATAGCTCCACTGTTAAGCTGTTATCATACGATAAGACCTGATAGCCTGGAGGGACGAGGCTGCTGTTTCCACACAGATTTAAAGACCTCCGCAATCGCCCTGATTCCAAGGTAACTTTCAAATAATCTTTCCTGCAGCGACCATCTGCTTGTGAAAGACCGACATCAAAGTCGTAAAATGTCAAAATAATTGCACTTTCTGGAGTCCGAAACTTAGCAACACAATGAAGATTCGGTAGGTAACCTTCAGGGTAGTTAAGACTAGTGTAGGTTGTTTTGTGTGTGACGCTTATCTGCTGTACTTTTACACAAACACTAACGTCAATCGCTTTCCAGGTAGCCTGAAACCCAGTGCTCGTGATGGAGAAATCAGAATGAAATGTAAGGTACGCTGTGTTATTGTCCGAGTAGAAAAAAAACCTGAAATAAAAAAATATGTACAATAAGTAAACACAGAAATATGCTCATGAAAATTATTCGTTATTATTAACAGACTGTGAAGGTATTAGCCATTGTTCAATATCATACAAAGATAATAAAGAGGATAGATCGTTTTCCACTGGCAGAAAACTTACAGCAAATTAACCAGAGTGTGCTGTTGTTGTTATTGTTATAGATTTCGCGCAAAGCTACACGAGGGCTATCTGCGCTAGCCGTCCCTAATTTAGCAGTGTAAGACTAGAAGGAAGGCAGCTAGTCATCACCACCCACCGCCAACTCTTGGGCTACTCATTTACCAACGAATAGTGAGATTGACCGTCACATTATAACGCCCCCACGGCTGAAAGGGCGAGCATGTTCGGTGTGACGGGGATTCGAACCCACGACCCTCAGATTGCGAGTCGAGCGCCCTAACCACCTGGCCATGCAGGGCCACTGTGGTTGTAAAAGACGGAACCATCAGTTTTAGTATAACAGTATAGAAGATATTCCAGTTTCTAAGGATCATTCTTTGGTTGTTTACAAACATCACTTCTGAGTGAGACAGAAAGGAAAATAAAACAAACAAAAACTTCATTCTTGAAGCGAAACCCACATATTCTTTAGAATCAGAATCGTGACTTTGTTTATTATAACAAGATTTTTTTTTACATAATTTTTGGCGCAAAGATATTTAAAACATGGCTTTTCCGAAGTTTGAACTGGGAGATTATGAGAAAGATAGCTAGTCACCAGCACCCACCACTAACACTTGAGCTACTCTTGTCTGGCCAAACAGTGGGATTTCACCGTAACTCTTATAACGCACCCACAACCACAAAGCGTTGAGCACGTTTTTTTGTGGTTATTTGATGCGAACCATAAATCTTAGAGGCTACAGTCTGGACACGCTAACCTCTAGGTCATGCTCGACCCAGTAACAAAACAAAGGTGCTTGTTAATATACATTTTCAGCAAGGTAAGAAGAGCTCAGTTTTTATTAGCTTCATTTTATTAGTAGTTACTCATATTCTGCACAGTGGTAAAAATTAGATAAATTTAATCAGATTATTCGTGCCGTGTTTAAACTTAACGACAAAAATCCAATATTTTCCAACCAATGCTACATTTGCATTGAAAACGTGTATTTTTAAAACTTTGAACGTTTTCATCCGTAACATTAGTATAATCCTATATGTTTGAAAAAAGACAGTGATGAGTAATAAGATGAAAAAATGGATAAAATACAAAACTAGACTAGCGAAAGCGTACGTGATTATTGCTCATAATTAACAATTATAATTCAGATTGTTTTCTTTATTGTAGAAACATATATATTATTCTGCGGAGTTTTAATGAAACGTTAGGAAATAAGTTATTTTCTACTCGAAACATTTCACTCTTGCCGCTACCACTGCATGGAAATAAGAATGATTTGGAACTTTAGGAACGAAACGTTAGGAAATAAGTTATTTTCTACTCGAAACATTTCACTCTTCCCGCTACCACTGCATGGAAATAAGAATGATTTTTATAGTCGAACTCAAAATCTATAAAGTCCAGTAGATGTAAAAATCATTAGATGAAAACTTGTCGCTGACCTTCAGCATGACATTGACCATTGACCCTCAGCAGTGGCAAACTTCATAAACATAACTTGCTTTTGATATTAATTTTTACCCGCAATGGTACTCGTTCTAACTCAGGAGTTTATAACTCATAAAGATAAGTAACATTAACCTTAGGATTACCACTGGGGTCCCGAACACATAGTCTTTCTTAAGCAAACTTTCTAAACTATTTATACACCAAACTGCTCATGAGCCCATGTCTTTATAGGAGTCACACACACACAATACCATGAATATTGAAGTTAAACTCATTAACTAATATTAGGTTCCCCTTTGAGTTTTTCAGTTTTTTTTTACTAAGTGTTGTAACAGGCAAAAACGAAAAACTCTCAATATGATGTAATATGTAGATACCACTTGCAGTGAACGACATCAGAATAAAAAGAAGTCGGTAATATGAGCGTTAAAACAGATGGAAATTTTTTAACTTATTTTAAATTATTAAAATTCTAAATGTTTAACTTGAGTAAATCTTCTTAATTTTTTAAACTATTAGAAAAATATTATGCAACTTTACTGTCTTGCTTTTATTTCGAAAAAAATCACACACACACACACACACTTTAGGCTTAACATGGGATTCATCTTAAGTTTTAAAAAGGAGAAAGTTCATACCTATTTAGATCGTTTTGATGTTGTCCACAAAATCGAGTTTCAGGTCCATCAAGGTCACTCTGTAGAGAAATATAGTCGTACATACACTGGTCTTGCTTCTCTATGTCCAGATGTTCAAATTGTAGGTAAATACGGGTCAAGGGCCCACCTTTAATGATGACTGTGTAGTGAAGATTGTTGACGTAATGATTGGGGAAGTTTACCGAAACTATGGTTCCATTTGTTCCTCCGAATGTTTTGTTAAGGCTTTCAGGAAGAACTGTAGTAAAACAAAAATAAAAAAAGAAAGATCTGGTATTTACTACATCAACAGAATGTCTACACTAGTTGTTTCCAAACTGTGTGTAACAGAATGTCTACACTAGTTGTTTCCAAACTGTGTGTAACAGAATGTCTACACTAGTTGTTTCCAAACTGTGTGTAACAGAATGTCTACACTAGTTGTTTCCAAACTGTGTGTAACAGAATGTCTACACTAGTTGTTTCCAAACTGTGTGTAACAGAATGTCTACACTAGTTGTTTCCAAACTGTGTGTAACAGAATGTCTACACTAGTTGTTTCCAAACTGTGTGTCGCGATACTTATAGTTGCTATGGGTATCGCGAGAATTTAGCCAAACGAAGAACATAAAAAAAAGTATAAAAAATTTTCCACGTGGCAACAGGGGTGTCTCGCAAATCAGGGTAAGTGGAAACCACTGGTGTACGCTGTTAAAATGTACTCGAATGTTTAACTTGGTTTTCTTGTTGGAAAATCAGATGTGCTATACATCTGTAATAGAATGGACTAGTGGAATCTGGACTAGTGGACAGCACAAAAGCACACCTGCCTTTTTACCAAGAAGACCCAGGGCAGAATCCCATTAAATACTGGTCTCTATATTATATTATAGGCTATGCTAGAAACTCATTAAATATTTACTCCGAGCAGTAAACATTTCGGAAAGATAAAATATCAGCTGAATAGTTTCATTAACCACAGATGCCATGCCAACGTGACTACACCATAATGTCCCTTAAATATAGTTACGTTAAGTCCAGTTCACTTCATCACTAATAATAGAATATACGCACACAAAGAAATCTGGCATTAAGTGTATAAGCTTTGAGCGGACAGTGATTTCATATTTATCCACGTCTGGGAAAAACAGATAACCTACAATTGATTCTTCTTGGGCATCACTTAATGCAGGATATACCATCAGAGTTTCGAATTAGCTACAATTGAGAAGTAAAACCAATAAAAAAATTCACTATAGACGCCATTCTTTACAAATTCCATACCTACAGCGTTCTTCTTACAAATATACCTTCCAGGCTGGTGACATTTGCTTGGGACCAAGTAGAGGTCGCCCACGTCATCCCTGTGTAGCCACTGAAGTGCCAGACACTCGGTACTCGTTTCTGACCGATTGTGTTCGGTTAGCTCTAGAAGTGTATGAGAAACAAAAAATAGCACTTTTGGTCATCATAAGATGTTAATAAAAACAATCAACAAACGATAATTTCGTGATTATACAGGAAGAATTGTACCCGTTTTTACATGAAAAGAAGTACTAATATCTACCCCCTACGTTTTCAAGTCACATTTAGGGCTTGCGAATTAATCTCAACCTAAGGGTACAGAACCATAGTATTAACAAGAAGGAAGGGTGAATTTGGTTTACATTGTACATATGATTCAATGCAAAGTTTCTTTTTTTGTTTGTTTAAATGCAAAGCTGTACAATGAGCTATCTGCACTGTGCTCACCGTAGAAATTGAACCTCAAATGTTAACATTATTTCTGAGCCACCGAGAGAGGCTCGATGCAAAGCCTAAGATATTAGTAAACTTCTAAAAATTTATGTCACATTACACTTTACATTTTATCTTCAAGAAACATTCATTGAACTCTTAAGCGTAAGGGACCGTTACACATTTACTAATTCCTGATATCATCCTGCCACAGGTGCTTGTTCAATATGATATTGTCATCTTCTCCGAGGCTCTCATCATAAGTTGGTATTATGTAAACAAATTACGGTAACAAGTATATATGACATCATCCATATAGTTGGTCTTTTATCTTGATATAATTATAATGTTGACACAATCAGAAGGAAGTCAACTTACTCAATCCAAGTTTTTCTGGAAAAAATAATTGTATTAACGAGTTGAGGGTACCCGTTAAGGAAGCAGAAATTGTATAAAGGAGAATGTCAGATACTGTCTGCCTTTCTTTTTTCTTTTATTAATAAATCCCGAATGACTTCATTAGATGCTAACTGCAATCCTTTGTAGAAAGTAATAATTAACACATCTAACTGATTAAGCATTTATGTCTTTAACTTAAAAGCTAAAAGTATATGGAAAAAGAGAAAATGTGCCCTATTTCAGGGTGTTTATATACCCATTCTTGTGCAAAAATACTAAAATAACATATCCCATGTACACTATTGGACATTTTTCAGTTACTATTACGGTAATTAAGCTAACCAGCTGTGAATGATGTAAGTTAAAAGTGGATAAAATGATGGAAATGTGCCCTAATTCAGGATGTTTTTTACCCACCCACCCACCCCTTCTCGGAAAAACAAATCATAAGACAAAATAGCCAGTTTTTTTCATGTTTAGCCTACCCATTTTTACATCATGTATTTATAGGGGTTGTTCTTTTATAACACTTGGCTCTTTTTTTATATGGCTGACCCCTTTATTCTAAATTAGCTGTTTTTTTACTTGTAAAATGTTTTGATCAGCTATCGTTACTTTTGTTTTGATTATTATTTTAAAATTAATTTAAAATAAGATTCCAGCTGAAGTGAGATTCAGACCTCAGCTGCCAGGGGAAGCTGTCTACACAGATGCACCATCTTTAATCAATATGCCATTTCTCCATTTCAGATATTTTATATGGTCCTAGGTTCTTAAGTTATCAGTTCTGACCCAGTGACAGCAGAGAGGAGTTTACCGCTAAAGTCATAAAACAAAATAGTCATAAAATTTTAATTAATATACGTGCTACAGCTGGCAAACCCTAGTTCAGATTAATATTTGGCAATGGAATTTTGTTTCGTGCCAGTCCTTCTTTGTTTACTACATGTTTTGCCTATTCAACATAGAGAAGAATAAAAAGAACATAATTTTACCACTTTTTGACAGTTTGTTTCTCTTAACCTGAAGCTGCTGTTTTTAATGTGATGTAAAAATGTTTAGATCTGTCCCAGAAGCAAGTGACATTCCAGCAACTGAGACAACTGTGGCAATACCCCAGATTTGGCCAAATCTTTGTGGACTCAAATACAAACCAATCATAAGATTTCAAGAAACCACTCCCTTAGACTTCAACTACAAGTTCATATCATTGTAAATTCATATGGGCGAAATAGGCTTAGTACATGTTAGGCTTTATTTGCAGTGTTTTCGTTACTTGTCTAAAATGAAGTCTTGCTATTATGAAGCTCGGCACGAGTACGTTCTTTTTATCAGTTTATGATTATTCAACTTCCCCAGTTCAGTTTTCAAAATAATTTTCCTTGTTTGAATTTTTAGCAGTACAAAAGTATTACGCAATTTGTATTATTTTTGTTTAACCAATATATCTTGTATGACACAACCTATTCTACCTTATCAATCTTACATAACTGCTGCAGCTATGTTCAAAATATTGCATCATTCTAGGATTATCTAATTTTGCATTATAAAGTTGAATGAATCATGTTACTTTTAGAGGTTGCAAGCAAGAATATAAAGAATAACTCGACCCTTCAGTACATGCCTCAAAACAGTGGTTATCAAACCTTACGAAGCCATGGAACCCTCTAATTTCATTCCTTCCGTCACAGAACCCAACCCATACCCCCCTTAAAATCTCGCCAGGGGTCCACGGAATACAGTTTGAAAATGATTGCCTCAGAGGAATAAGGAAGTCTTGAAAAACGTTTCGCATATAGATGGATTTACGTGAGTGTAAAAAGAAGGGTGAGTGGTTGAAGGATTATTATACAGCTGAAGTAAAACTAACCATAGCTAGTGATGATCTAGTCTAAATGCATGGTGGTCTAACCATTGTAGGACCGTAACTTGTTACATATGCTCTTACATTTTTGTGAGCAATTTTCTTTTAATCGAAAAGCTTGAATGTTATTATGCGATTCATGATGAGTGCAGAGCCAAATAAACTCGGTCGTCAGTTGGACCACTCTGATTTTGTAAGGTGAGATTAGCAGAATTCGATATTTTATCTGAGTTCTAATAAAATCGCTGATTTGTGCTTTACAAAAAGAAAAAAAACATAACGTTTACCTTAATCCATTTTAGGTTATGTTAAATATTTTATGGACAGTGAGATTTATATGGTTATTTAGTGCCCGTTTTGACACAAAATGGAACGTAGGTGTCAAATGTGTTTTACTTAGTTTCTAAACGTTACTCTATGTGAAAGTTTAAAATTTTGTATATATAAGAAGTATTACAGCACATCTGATCGAAACATTTTAAATATACATAAAGAGCAAAGTTAGACTAAAAGGAATCTTATAAGAGTTATTTTTTAAGGTTTCAAAGTTTAATCATAGTTTATATGATGATGTGACATATAAAAAAAGAGCCAATTCTGTAAATTCTCTACAACTGTGTTATCCTATTTATATGTGCGTAGGCTAGATTGTTTTGAAAATAAGATGAGTGTACGTATTTATTAACCTTATAAAACGATATAAAATAATTAACATGGAAATGTACTTTGGAAAATTGTAAATACTATAGTAAATTGTCGAAATTAAAAACAACGACAGTCACTATTATCCCCCGGTAGGACAGCGGTGAAGCTACTGACTTACAACACTAAAATTCGAGGTTCGATTCCTCCGCGTTGGACACAGCAGATAGCTAGCATGAATATTAGAATTATTATATTTACAGATAATATTCACTCATGACCTCTTAAAACAGCCCTCCTCCGACGGCTCAGCGAGGCTTATAAACCTAAAATTCAGCGCTCGGTTCCTGTGATGTACACAACGCAGATAGCTTGTTGTGAAGCTTTGGTCTTAAACAAAAGAAACAAAACGAATGATTGTTTTTTCTACTGTTATAAAATCCTAATTGTGTGTAATAGTAACATAAAAAAATCCAACTCTTACGTATCTTTATTTATATTATCTTATTGGTTGATTTTAACCCAATATATTCAAAGTCCACGTTAACAGGGTTTATTCAATGACAGGCCTTTAAAACTATACCGAAGTTTTCTCTTACAAGCAACAATTTGCTAAACACTTAAATTTATGTAAAATAATAACACTTAGGAAATAATAGTGTTTAAACATTTTACTACCTGATTGGTTAATATGCTGTCCATCAACCCAGTGCCACGTTTTGGTTCCAATTTCTTTGACTCCGCCTACCCAGTACAACAATCCCGACCTAAAAGCCTCAGTGGATTGAATGAGATAATTCACAAAACGTTTTTCTTCGAGAGTATAAATGGTGGCTAGCCTCGCTTCGGACTCAGCACAGATCTGACGCGCGGTGTGCCAGCTAACTTCTGGGTACGAAGCTAGTAGATAACACTGATTTCCGAATAGGTGAAATATCTTGCTGTCGCACTGTGCTGAGGGAGACACGTTATCTAGAAACATATGTAGAACGTTACTTTATGTGCTACTTAACATGGAGACACAAATTAGATCGATACAGAGAGACTGACGGACGATGAACTGACAAAAACTGGAGTCATGGACATACATTTAAACATTTGAAACTCTTAAAGAAAAAGATTATTTGTTATTAGTTTCCCTAATTTTTCCTGCAATAGAAAGAAGTCTTAAAATAGAAGGATCTCGCGAAACACCATCTTTTATCAATGATTCCAGGTTCACTGACCGAGAGATATACAGAGTAAAATTGTTCGATTGAAAATATTGAATAAGTAAATCAGGATTAAATTTTATTTCTCACTTAATACTTAACATAATGTCTACGGATCTTTATGAGAGTATTAATAGATCAATTGGCAACAGTATTCTCAATCCACCGAACACGTGGAGCGTAATAAGACATCTAGTGCCAAAAATATCCAATAAATCACCACCCAGAGTATTTAAAATCACAAGTCAAAAAACGTTCTATATATGTCGTTTGTTCCTTAATGAGCTAATGATTACTGACGAGTGAATATTCCCAGCTATAACCCAAGGAAATGTATCAAAAAATGTTAGTTAAAATATTTAACATTCTCTGGTTATCAGAGAGTGCGCTAACACTTTCTATGTAGGGATGGCACGGACGCCCGTATTAAATTAATACAAAAGTCATCTGGATTTTCTTCTTATAGGTCACCAGAAGCTAGATATGAAGAACTACCTGGCATAGTCACTCTATCTCCGGTGTATATCCCGCTTTTCAACTATTCAGAGCATCCCAAAGTCGAAAACCAGCGAATAGCTAAAACCAAGATTTTGTATTTTCGTTCATCGTTATCTTTTTTCAACAGGCCTAGCACTTAGCTAGTTCTAGCAGTAACTATAATTTTATCATCATTTCATAGAGTAAAACAGTCTCCACAATCTTGACTACTTATTATAGTATTATTCTATGCACAATTAGAAAAGAAAAAAATCATAATTCTAGTGAAAACGCTATTATTACCCTTTGAAGTTAGCTTTCTTACAAATATCTGGTGTCCCTAAAAAAGGCTTAAGTACAGGGTGAAACTGAAATTACCAGCCAATAATAGATGAACATCAGATGACTGTAGCATGTACATATTCTATGCCTTGTATAGTATACAGTAGGTGTCTTTAGGGAGTCAACCCCTATATTATGTATGAAGTGAAGGAGTAAAATAAATAAATAAACATATTTTCGTCCATCATTATCTTTCTTCAACAGGCCTAGCACCTACCTAGTTATAGCAGTAACTATAATCTTATCATCTTTTGATAAAGTAAAACAGTCTTCACGATCTTTGACAACCTATTTTATTATTATTATTATACACAAAGTTTATAAAGCTTTATAATGCACTGTATAACCTAGTAATGGCGTACGCCATTTTATAAAAGACTAAACAAACAAGTATTAGGAAAACAATTATAACTAAATAAAAAAACTATGTAGGGCTGGCTACTGAACTTGAAAAAAAAGGAACCAAACAAGATAAGGATGGAAGGGGACATATCACTTGATCCAGGTGATGATCACATAGAAGACTAAGCTATCTCAACTTTACATGGAAAACAAAATCCCTACATTACATATTAAAATTTTAACTGATAAAACAATGCATTCTGGTCATTATCAGGAAGAATCTAAGAAAGGCACATCAAATTACTTGGCTGAATTTGAGCTCTGATTCAAGTAACTTTGATCAGAAGTTAATATTAATGGTTATAAATCACAAGACGGAATTATAATAAAAATGTTATCTTAACTTCTAGAGACTTGATTGGTCGAAATCTGATAATTTAATGGAAATACTTTTCACAAATGCTATACGAGCAGAAATCTTTAACAAGTAAAATCCATTAGACATAACAAAAATCACGTTAATAGCGAGATAGTTTAGTAACTAACCAAAAAAATACATTAATCCATACATGTATGTAAATTACTAACTGGAAACTTTGCATATTTTATTTTTAATTTGGATTGATTTATCGTTTAAGTGTAAAAATAAAGTATGCAGCAATAATAAAAAAATAATAAATGATATGATAGATAATAGTAAAAACGAAGATTTCCTAGTATTATCACTATGATTTAGACTTTTGACACAGCGTGCACGTAAGACCCTCATATGATATATAACGGTTTTCAAAATGCCGTTAAGTTGAAAAATTCAGGATTTCATAATAAGGGGTAGTCCCACTAGTTTCGACATAATAAGGGATAGTCTCACTAGTTTCGTTAAGAAAAGATGTAATATCACTAGTTTCCATATATAAGGGGCAATCCTACTGGTTTGACATAATAACGGGTAATCCCATTAGTTTCGTTATAAGAAGGTAACGAAACTAATGGGACTATCCCTTGTTATATTGAAACCAGTAGTATTATCCATTCTTATAACAAAACTAATGGGACTACCCCTTATGATATGGAAACTAATGGGACTACCCCTTATTATATCGAAACTAGTGGTATTACCCCTTCGTATAACTTGTTATATTGAAACCAGTAGTATTATCCATTCTTATAACAAAACTAATGGGACTACCCCTTATGATATGGAAACTAATGGGACTACCCCTTATTATATCGAAACCAGTAGGACTCTCCCTTATTATATCGAAACTAGTGGTATTAGTTACGAAGGGGTAATACCACTAGTTTCGATATAATAAGGGGTAGTCCCAATGGTTTTGATATAACAAGGGTATTTCCACTGATTTCGTTGGTAAAAGGGGCCATACCATCGTTTTCAATATAAATAAGGTTACCACCATAGGCTTTGATATACGAATAAATAATTCCCCTGGTTTCGATTCAGGGTGTAATACGACTGGTTCCTATAAATATGGATGCAAGAAATCGATGGTTACAAAAGAAGAAAAACTACTGGTTTCAATGTAAATTGCATAAGATGTGTATGATTATACGGCAAGAGAGACCACCGTATTCAGTTCATGAAAACTTACTTCAGTAGGAGTGGAATATGACATCTGAAATCAAAACACTTTTATAATATGTCCTTCTTGAAGGTCACAGCTAATCCAGTTCTGAAGTATATTGCTTCAGGCTACTTTAAATACTTAATACAACTTAATACCGTTTTGCAAGTGCTTCATGGCACTTAGTTTAAACAATTGCTACATATTAATACACTGGCGCCACTTGAACAGTGCAATGCCTCCAAGAGTAGCTTATTGCTGAATAATTGCTGATATCCTATCCAAAGAAAAAACTTCATAGAGCAGGATAACTAAATATTGTAGAGCCAAAGCATGTAATGATTCTAAGAAATGAGCTTTCAATATTTTTTTCATGAAAACCTCACACAATGGAGCGTTCAGGACAACAAAAGACTCAGAACTAATACCCCCAACAAGCCAATCCGGTTCAAGGTCCTCATCCGAATAGCGAAGACTATAGTTAAGAATTCAGAAAGCCATTGTGTTGAAGCTGGGCATACAGTCTAGTACCATTAATATGATAACAAAACAGGATTTAAAATTGACAAAGGCTCGGAAACCAATAGTTCACTAGCTATTAGCGAAATGATATTGCCTGTTTGTAAGGTTTGTTTGTTTATTTGTAATTAAGCACAAAGCTACACAATGGGCTATCTGTGCTCTGCCCACCACGGGTATCGA